CGACTGGTTCATTTTGTCCATCGTGCTCTCAAGGAAGGTCAAACGTTGCTCGATTGCTTTACCGTACCCAGGCCGCAGCCCCGGTTGGCCTTTCTCTGGATATACGCATTCACTCCCTGACAGACTGGGTCAATTGGCATGTCCCAGACTGTAGAGGCTCGATCTTACCCATGCGGCGACAGGTGCCACATAGTGGGCGGGCGCTGTCGCACCTTGTCTTTTTCTGTTTGCACGTTTCACATCTGCTCCCGGACACGCCGTTAGATTGCGCACCTACGAAGATTGCCGGACCCAGCACTCACGCTTTCGACAAAATTCGCGGACGTTTGCTGGGGGGTATGTTGTCCTCGCCATCTAGATTGCGAGTCTCGGTGGAGGACATAGTAGATATTGAAAGCGTGGCGTGCAGTAACGGATCCTCGTGGGCGAGGTTGAGTATCAGGTGTTTCGTTGGCGGGTATGACGACGATAGCTTGAAGATTATTTGTAGATACCCAACGAACACTAGTTCTGGGGCAAAACACTGTTGGACCGCAGTCTCTTCCGCTGCTTAAAGCTAGATTGCCTCCTGCCCTGGCAGTGAGCTGCCCCGGGCCTTGGCAATGCAGACGCGGGGCAATTTCCTGGCCCATGGGATTGTGGCTACAGGCAATTGTGGGCTGGTGCCTACAATACCTTGGTAGTAAGTTGTAGTAATGTGGTGCTGTTCTGGGTGCTGGCCTTGGCTATCTAGCCTGTAGGCGAAGTTGCCTGGAAGTCCTGCTTATGAGACTTGAAGGGGCTCACAGGTCGCCCACCGCGTTGCTTACCAGGTCGCCTATACCAGGCGAGACTAAGGGTCTGGACCACTTTCTGACAACTACGAATAAGGCATAGAAGCTACAGATGACCTAAAATCGAGCTGGAAAAGAGTGATCTACAATTTCTGCCACATACATATTTCAGGTATCAATCAGTACGGCTTGCAACCAGCCATCTTAAGCAGTTTATCGGTGACCTGCGGTTTCTCGAGCGGCTCTGAGCGGTGTCGAGGATCTGGGGTGCCATCAGGGTATGATGCCTGCAGCTCGCGGAGCTTGATGTTGTCGTGAGGCCAGTGGGTGGTGGCACCCCACGCATCAAAAATCTTTGCCTTTTCTGCGAGAGCCTCCTTGGATGCCAGCTTGGCTGGCGCGTAGGCCGCATAGATGACAGTACGGACTGTGTTGCTCTTCTCCGTGGGCTCCCCGCCCCAGTGAATGGTGCGCGAATCCCAGAGGATCAAATCGCCAGGTTCGGCCAGAACCTTGGTAATCTTGCATCCTCGAGCGAAGAACCACTCCATGTCCTTGTCATCGAAATAACGATTGTCCCTCCACTCCCAAGTGGCAGGGTCTGTCTGCGTGTCGAAAAACTCTTCGGTCAGTTTCGACGAGCCGGAGACAACCACGAGGGAGCCATCTTCGGGACCGGCATGGCTCAGATTAATGATGCCTTGAATGCAGTGTAAGCCTCGTTTGCGGGGAGCCTGGTCGACGTGTGGCCAGGGGGCACGGGCTTTCTTGAGGTTAGGGAGGGTGACGTTGAGTGAATCGAAGGAGACGAGCAACTCGTCGGTGCCCCAGATCTTTTCAAAGGCGTCAAGGACACCAGGCTCCTGGCGAGCCTCCCACATAAACTTTTCATGTACGACCGAATAGTGTTCGTAGGTGTTTCGATTCGTCTGCAGAGGGAGCTTCTCCTTTTTCCATGTCGAAGGATCTTCCGGGTCCAACTGAGGGTCAAAGGTCTGAAGCCACTCGATGGCCTTTTTCTGGTAGTATGCCGCGCGATCTGCGGGAACCGCGCCCTTAATGACGGCGTAACCTTGAGTCTCGAGATCGGTGAGCCAGTCGATGTTGGACTCCGAGTCGAACAATCTAGAGGGAATTTTAGCGGCCACGGTCCTTAGGCTTCAGGCTGGAAGAGAAAGTAAAGCTCACTTGAAAGAACTGAAGACTCGGGTAGATGCAGGAGTAGCGGTCACGGTCTGGGTGGCGGTGGCCATCTTAGCAACAGGGTTATGAGTAAGTTGGGTTTATTGTTCTCTTGCACTCTGTCATTGAATTTCCAACTCTAATATACTGCCTGACTGCCATCGATCACACGGTCGGGGGGTTCTGACGACCTACAGTTTGTGGCAAAAGTTGCCAGGCGTTTCAGAGGGGGGCTTTCTACGCTCCGGAGAATCTTCGTACCGGACATTTAAAATGCCTTGAATAGGCGGCACAACACCGCCTCGTCTTTTCCGGCCATTGCCCGATGCGTTTCTCCAACGGCGTATCATCGTTGCGAAATCAAGTTCCTGCGGATCAAGATTCTCCCGGTCATCGTTTCCTCAGAACTTTGAATGAACTGGTACATGCGTACTAAAACTGGGAAAAGTGATCCATTGGGGGGAGAGACAAGGGCTGACACACTCTAAATTATTAGCGAAAAACACTATAAACAAGGCTGGTATATCACGCGGATGGTTACCAACAGCAAGGAGTTGACATCTGCCTCGAACATACTTGGTTGCTCCGGATACTCCAACAATCGGGCATTCTCAACATGCGACAGATATTGGTTACTGGAGCCGCTGGCTTCATTGGACAGATAGTATCCAAGGCACTTTTAGACGATGATTCGGTTGAGCTCACTCTCGTCGACGTCATTCAACCGCCCATCCCCGTGGGTTGCAAGTATCCTCACAATGCAATGGCAATCCAGGCTGACCTGATCGAATCTGGAGCCAGCTTCATCTCTCCAGGCCTCGATACAGCCATTCTTCTACATGGTGTCATGTCCTCTGCAGCAGAGGCGGACTTTGAACTCGGATATCGTGTCAATGTCGATGCGACTCGCGCGTTGCTGTTAAATCTTGCCAAAAAGATTCCGGGGGTCAGAGTCATCTATGCCTCCAGCGAAGCAGTGTACGGTACACCGCTGCCCAAGAAAGGTGTCTCCGAGGCCACCAACTGCACGCCAGAGATGACATATGGCTGTCAAAAGTTGATATGCGAGACTTTCATCAACGACTTTACCCGTCGAGGCATGATCAACGGCTTCTCTCTCCGATTTCCAACTATCTCAATCCGTCCGGGCAACCCAAGTCCAGCGGTCTCTGCTTTCCTGTCCGGCATTATTCGTGAGCCACTGAATGGCTTGGAGTGCAGAGTGCCTCTCAAGGACAGATCGTGGCGTCATTGGATGTCTTCGCCCAAAACGCTGGTGTACAATGTGATGGTCGCAATAAAGCTGCCCAGGGATGCATTGGCACCCCATAGAAGAGCCGTCAACGTCCCGGGCTTTGCGGTCACTATGCAGGACATGATGGATGCTCTGGAGCAGGTAGGGGGAAAGGAAAAGCTAGCTTTGGTCAAGGAAGAGCCTGTTCCTGAGGCTCAGAGTCTCCTGTATTCCTGGGCCGATGATTTTGATAATAGCCTGGGACTCTCGCTCGGCATGAAGCAGGACACATCGTTTCTACAGTCGTGCAGAGACTACATCGAAACATTGGAAAATGAGGCGTCAGCATCATAACAGAAGTCTATTGGTGCTCGAAATTGAGATAGTCTAATCCTGTCGAACGATCTTAAGCTCTGGGTCTTCTCACATTACCGAGTATGATGTCTATGCCTTGTTTGTAGACATCAACCAGTCCATGTGGTATTCCACCACCGCCTGCATAGCTTTGACCTGTTCCTCGATGACCGTCGTCAAAGGCACCTTTCCCGTCAGCTCGCCCTGTACCTTGGTCCACGCCGCAGCCACTGGACCGTTCACGTTGACCTTGCACATGCCATAACTGATACACTTCTTCAGCAGCTCCTCTTTGAAATAATCTTCGTGTGCACCGTGTAATACCAGCCGGACCCGGTCCCCGACCTGTTTGTGGATGCGCTCAAGCCGGGGAAAGTCAAGCTGAGGACCCTTGGGACCGTATGGTCCATGGATGTTGCCAAATGCCGGGGCTAGCCAATCGATACCCAAGGCAACGAATTCTTCTGCCTGTTCCGGTGTCGTCAAGATCTCCTCCATGCCCTCCGTATCCTGAATGCCGTCTTCGGCGCCATTGATACGACCAGGTTCGCACTCCGTGATGATACCACGAGCATTGCAGTATGCAACCAGCTCCTTGCTCAATTTCAAGTTTTCTTCCTTGTCGTAGTGGCTCATGTCGACCATGATTCCGTCGTACCCACCCAGATCGGCCGAGCGGCGGATGATGTCTGGCGACTGTGCATGGTCCATGTGCACTCCGATCGGTACTGAAGCCTTGTCGGCGGCCTCTGCGGCAGCGTGTAAAAGCAGGCCGTCGGCAAATTCGATGGACCAAGGAAAGAGTTGGATTAAGGCTGGCGACCGCTTGGTCTCGGCAGCCCGGACTGTAGCCAGCACCGCTTCCAGGTTGTAGCAACACACGGCCGCGATCGCGTACTTGCCAGCATAAGCTGCATCTACAATCTCTTTTGCCCGGTTGCCCTTCCGCTTGGAAGGGTGGCCGTTGGTAACGGTAGCACCGTTAGCTGTCATCGTTGATGAACCTTGATGCGAGTGTTCAAGGAACGAATTAAAGCACCGTGTCGCTGGAATTGACTTGGGATGTGGTCTAAGAATTTTGTCGATGAGACTTTTGGCCGGCGATTATATAAAGGAGCCTTCGAGTAGGTATACGATTTTGTGCCTGGTGTCCTGACCCCGAACACCCCGAGTAATGCGGTCCAACTAGTCTTTCCGTCTTCGGCACATCATTACGGAGGACTCCTTTCCGTGGCAATTCACCCGTGGTCCACCTAAATGGGCGGAGCTCACAGAAGCCCTGAGCATGTCGTTACTCAGAACTCTTCCATGGGTGACCTGTTCGAAAGCGATTGATTATTTTGATCTAGGCAGAGCGCGATGCAATGACTACGAGTCCACGTAGACTACACTTTCCACCTCACACACCGTGATCCTTCCACAAGGTACCACTACTTGCGCAAGGCGAGGAACCATGGTCAAATTTTATCCTCGGCGTGCGTGATCTCAGCTTTGTTATCGAACGCCAAATCTTTGGTCAGAACATTCTCTTGGACAGCCACTTCAACGACCTCATCTCCAAATGCTGCCGCAATCTCTTCGAGAGATTGCTGCTTGGTTTCCCTAGGCACAAATCAGCAAATCGAGTTTCTCTGGTGTTGATTCTCAGGACACATACGGATAGAAAAAGTAGATGATGAAAAGGTAGACAGTACAGCAGCCCACGAAAACGTAGTAGTAGTTCTCCCCGATATTCTTGAAGGCACTCGGACCAGCTTCGGTGACTTGTCAAACAACGCGTTAGAGCCACAAACATCGGATAGCGGGCAGGAGTCACCTACTGCTAACATTGACAGCATAATGCGCAAAAGCGGCAAGACCCATGAATTTGTTTCGGAGGGCCACCGGGAGAACTTCGGCACCATAGAGCCAGGTTACAGGGTTGATCAAGCTGTCTGTTGAAACATTTAGCTGCGTCTGGACTCGCCGTTCAGGCGGAAGGTGAGCTTACAATAACCAACGGTAAAAATGTAGATGCCAAGGATCGCAAACCCCTTGCCGACACGATTGTTGGTGTGTTGGAATTCGCGTTGCATGACAGCGGCATATATCTCGGTCACGACGACCCAGACGACACCAATCAGCAGCATCTTCCGCCTGCCCAGACGATCGGGAAGGAAGGGGATAGAAATGGCGCTGAACAGAAATGCGCATGTTCCCCAGACAGCTGTCAGCGCCAGGACAGTCTTGCTCTCGATACTAAGAGACTTATAAAGCGTCGCTACATGCTTTGTGAATAGTGTGCTACGATGGCGGGTCTCAAGTCACTCACTTTGGTAATACTAGATGGGAATGGTCAGAAGGTTTCTTCGGTCTGTATGGGAAGAGATAACTTACCTGGATCACATTGACGCCAGTAATGGCGGTCAGGATCTGTACTGAAATAGATCTGGTTGCACTTAGCTCCGGGAACCCCCTACTCGCTCGAAAAATCACCTACACGAGAACGCGATGTCGGTACCGCTTGAAGGCGGACATCAAGGACGGGCTGCGTTGCTCCTGCTCAAAGGCGATCTGGGTTTTCATTAGGGCAAACTCTTGTTGCACCTCCTGTGACTGTAGGTCGTGGCGGAATCTGATGAAGGCTTTGCGTGCTTCTTCGACTTGACCCTTTTGTAGAAGATGACGTGGCGAGTTTGGCATGAAGGTAACCAAACCAATAAACATGATGATGCCCCAAGGAAGCTGCAGAGCCAGTGGAAGACGCCATTGGACCTGACCGAAGGGAGCATAGTTGCAGGCAAAGCCGACCCAGTTGGCCACCATGATACCACACGACAAATTAACGCCAGAGAGGCCGCCGATGAATCCTCGGTGTCGCGGGTCGCTGATTTCAGACAGGTAGACAGGAACCGTTGCGGACAAGGACCTATTACGATGAGTCAAGGTCAGAAACTGATTCAGATTGAAGAATCGGCGGTCGTTATGTACCCAACAGCAATTCCCGTGAGAATTCTTCCGGCCAGCAGCATGCCGAGATTAACTGCAGCCGTCTGCAGAGTGCACCCAATTGTGACAATCACACAAAGGAGCTCCATGAAACGAAGCCGACCGAGTCTGTCCGCGAGGGCAATCTGAATGAGCGCACCCACGGCCTCACCACCAATATAGATTGCACCGACCTACATCCTGTCAATCATCTTCTCCTGAATCACAGCTGGACAGACATACAGCACCGACGAGGGCGGGATTGGGATTGTGCATGTATTCAACCCAGCTTTTGTGCGCAATAGCTATAAGGTCTGTTAGTCATTGTGCAATTCTGTTTAAGATCACTTGTCCTGACTTGTGGTGACAATGCCGGTATCATATCCCTATCGATGATCCTCCTGTCAATAACCTCCGGATATAGCATGTCTCTTCGATTTTTTACATACATACAGAAAGGTGCCCAAACTGGCGAAAAGGGCCACCCCGAGGGTATATTTGTCGACGCCCATGCTGTTTATTTGGGGTCAAGACTCAGGACGAATAAGCAAAAACGTCTTCAAAGCTGGGAGATGTATGAGTAGTACAGTGGAAACATGATCTGAGCACCTGCAGATAAATAAATCCTGTGGAGAGCACCGGGGGCCGGCTGCCGTGAGAATAGCCACGTTTACCGTTAGAAAGATCGATTTGCGCGGAAAATTTATAGGCCGAAAGGCGGGGATTTCTGGGGCTTGCGGAGTGGCCACAGTCTTCGCGGGGGGTTGTTGACCCGCGGTCCCGGGATAATATGGCGAGGCTATTATTATTATTCTACCAAGAGATTCATGTGAATCCACATTCCACAGCTTCCTGTAACGGGGAGACGGAAGCGCCACCTATTTACGGGCTATACTGGTTACCAGCAATGATGGCTTTGAGATTTAGGTAGTCTCCCAACTCGTTCTTTACACCTCGAAACATTCAGCTTTGATTCTCCTGGCACCTCCCCACCCGTTCGTCCTTAGTAAACACGGTATGCTTGGGCCGGCACAAACGAGAATGCAATACGGATGAATCATCGTTGAATAGGAAAGTATGCCGAAGTCGCTAGGCAGATGAGCCCATACCCCTATGGTTTAGGCTCTCATACAAACTTTCCTGCTTCTTGTACGGGTACAATAACCCTGTGTGGCTTAACGAACGTAATTCTACATGTTTTGCCCGTCTCTTGCGCCAGATTTCTAGCCCAGACTGGCCAATCAATCGTTGGTCGCGGTACCTTCTCCAGGCAGCAACTTGGGCACTATTGGCAACAATAACCGAGACTGAGGCGCGAAACTAGGCACTTCCGAACATGCTGCCCGAGTAATGCGGCCTTGCTCCCTTTCCTGAACGAACATGGTCAAGGATAAAGGGGCATATATAATGTATATATATAGTCTTCTCTTAAGTTTGCCTAAAAGGAGAAGAAGAAAGAAAAAGCCCACTCGTTCGACCACCTCTTGTCAACTCCGTCGCTCTTTTCCCTTTCAATTTCAATTTCAAGGTGCACTTGAAGTAATCGCAGAGAGCTGTTGTTGTAAATAGTTATCGCATTGTTCTCGAGCAAAAAGCGCCGCGGTCCCACACCCCCCTCCTTTTCCACTGAATCACCCTTGTTGTTCACCAGTGACCACCTCCGTGACCTCCGTGGTGTTCGTGACCCTGGTGGTGGTCGTCGTCTTCATGTTGCATTCCATCGTCGTCGTCATAGTTCTCGCCATCGTCATAGTCGTCACCGTCTCCGTCTCCGTAGTGCTCTTCCTCGCCTTGTTGTTGATCATGGCCGTCATCGACGTGGTGTTCGCTGTAGTCTTGATGACCGTGGTGGTGGTTGTGATGATTGCGATGGTTGTGGTGGTCGTACTGTCCATAATCATCCTCATCGTACTGGTCATCGCCATCAACCTGGTCGTTGTCATCATCACAGCAGCCCTGATCCTCACCCGCACTTGGGTCGTCGTGGTCGTTCGAGTGGTGATGGCTGCTCGGGTCTTTGTGGTCAGGCATATCATGGTGGCTGCTCGGGTCCATATCCTCGTAGCTGCTCGGGTCGTCCATGGCCGGATCTTCGTCGTCGGAATCCGGCTCATCGTCGTCTCTCGGGTGCTTGACTTTGTGGTTGTCGGGAGGTAGTTCAGGGTGGCCCCGAAACTTCCCTTTTGCACATTGCGAGAACCAGCTGTGAAGGTCACAGACATCTGGGTCATTGGGCTCATACACGAGGATCTGCTCGGTGATGGACACGATGACCTGTGCGTGCTGATGGAGCTTCTCCTGTTGATCGCCCTCATCCATGCCTGAACAAAAGAGTATCAGCTTTTGGTCGAGGGCACCAACGACGGTGTCAAAAAGGCACCAACTTACTCTGGTCGTCATGGTCCTGTGAGTATTTTTGCACGGCATCATGGAGATGATGTTTCAACTGTGAGACGGGGTCTCCCAGTCCACCTGGAAGCCCGTGCCCAAGCTGGCTCATAGGGTCGTGCATATCCAGTCCTCCAAGGGGACCATGTCCAGACGAGCCAAGTCCAAGTGAATCGTGCCCGGGCAAACCAGGCATTCCGTGTTGTCCATGTCCACTCGCTCCCATACCCCCAAGATTGTGGTCTTGTAAGGAGTGAGTGAGATCAGAGATGTCTCCCATTTCGACAATGCTGTGTGAAAGTTGTGTGATTTGTGAAAACAAAGACTGGTTCTGTGTGTCTGATGATAATGGTTCTGTCTGGTTCCAAGCTAGATACGAGACACCGATCTTCTTATACGGCCGCTTGTGTCATTTTTGGGTTCAGACCTAGTTGATCCTCCTCGCTCGATTGATCATGATCGAGCCGCTGGGTCACGTTGACTATGTAGCCACTGGTAATCGGCTGACCATAAGCACCGTGCAACCCCGGTTCCTTCGATCGAGGCTTAGATGGATCTAACGCACCCGCATAGAGTTTGTTTTATTTAGATACCCCATCGCGCGCAATATAGGGCGACTCATATTCAAGAGATGCAAAAAGGGAAAACTCCGTCTGGTTAACCGTAAGCTTACAATAGTAGGCACTGCTATGTAGGAATCCACGACGGGGCATTTGATTTGACTTGGCATTTTCGTCTATCTTTGCGTATAGAAAGAAAAAGAAAAAGGGTGGCGGCCCTTCAAGAGGAATAGCCTAGATAAATACTACCTACTAATACATTATATCTTGTGCCTATTTCGGAGTCTCTACCAGCACTACTAGGTATATATTGTCCACTGCGGGACTATCAGAAGGGACTTGATCATTACGAGCATCAACCTCAACCCTTTCACACCTACATATCGAGATCTTACTTTTCGACTTTTCTCTTTTCAGGTTTCATCTTTTCAAGTTGGTCATCTGGAAAGTCCGTGAGAACAGAATGTCGCAACCGCCGTCTAAAAAATCCTTCTTCCCCAGCCCTGTCGCCGCGTTGAAAAGGTCCAGACCTCCCCCAGTAGGTTGTCCGTCCAAATGAACACCAGATCCCTATTTGCTAAATTGCACTTGTAGAAGCCGACAAGCAAGGATGACGCGATCAGATGGGCCGCAGGGCAACCAGCTCCCAATAATGTTCCAACTAGCAGTGACGTTCCATTCGGCGGTCGAGTTCCACCCAGCCAGCAACTTCGCCCTCAACCTCCAAGACTCTCATCACTCGCAGAGACGCCGGAGCCTGGACAAGTACCGCCCGGAGCCCCTCAGGATTTCGGCCGTCCAGGCGAAGACAACCTCACGGAGAATCTGCCACGGCAAATGAACACTGGGACAGGCGGGGCGGAGACACCTGCATATGTCCAAGCATTCCTCGATGCTGGAAAGCCAACGCCGCCGCCCGCAGGGTCGAGTGGAACTCTCCGCCCAAGCCGCCCAACCAGGCCAGTGCCACCGACACCCGGTGGAACTCCCCGCCCGAGCCGCCCAACCAGGCCAGTGCCACCGACGCCGGAACCGCAACCGCAAGCTGGACCTTCCCAGCCGCGCGCGGGACCATCTCAGTAGCCAGTCGCCCGGATCAGGAAACCGAAAAGCTGGAGTGGAAGGGGAAAGGGAAGGGGAAGGGGATGGGAATATTGGACATAGCATACGGTGCTTTCCCTCCACGCCAAACTCCAGTTTCTCGGTCAGTAGGGGATGGGGATGGAGGTATGGGGAATGGAAGTCTACGTTTTACTGTTTATATGTAGGCACCTCATCGATCAGTACCTTTCTTTTACCAACACTCTTTCATAAGTTTAGGTACATGCAAAGTAACACAGTAATCATTGCTTTTCAGATTGCATAGTGCTACTCCACGCTTTCTATCTTTAGTCAGCTCGTTCTCTTATACCATTGACTAACTGCTGATATTCCTCATTTAGAGGTGTACGCCTCTCTCTCTCCTGTGCGTAACCAAAAACCAGGTGGTTGACTCGCACTGTTGGTCTGCGCTAAGAATAAGTTGACAGTAACACAAGTTCCTTTGATCGAGGAATGGACGGGCCGCGCGCAATATAGTGCCGTAACCCGACATCAAAAGATGCAAAAGGAAAAATCCCCCCTTGTTACTAATGGTAAGCTTACAGCGGTAACATGCCTGCATGGATCTTCCTCTTCTATCTTTATGTTTTGGGGGGAAAGGGGGGGAGGTGGTATATATTGTCCATCTGCAGGACCATCAGAGGGAACCAAACCATCACGAGCAACACAACCACCGTCCCCTCGCGAGTCACGACCTTGAATATCGACATTTTATTTGCAAACAGGCTGTGATCCGAGATATCACTCGAGGAAAAATCATGACGACCGCACCGCCGAAGCCATCCGTGTTCCCCAATCCTGCAATGGTATTGTCCAAGATCCCAATCCCGGTAGGTTGTTCCGCATGGGGGATGAACCATCAGAACATTCTGCTGAACTTGTGATTCTAGAACCAGAGCATAGGAGGGCCACCGGTAAACGACGGGCAGTCAGGGAATGCAGCAATGAGCAAACCAGGTTTTGTGTCGATAGTGCAACAACCCACTGACCTTTCAACGAATCAGCCGATTGCCGCCTCGGATACGACCAGAGGCTTGTCAAACCCTATGCCGCCGCAAGGGTCAATAGGGGAAACCGTCAGTGAACCCGGGGCTTCTGATTACGATCCCAGCCTTCTTGGGGGTGCCTCCATTCCTCCAGGCGCACCTCCTGCTGGAAATCCCTATCCCGCTCCTGCTGGAGGTGCTGGACCAGGCGGAAGTGCTGGCCCAGGTGCCGGAAGTCAAAACCCTCAGTCGCGAACTAAGATAGGGGGGGCCGGTCTTAGTGAACCCGGGTCTTCTGATTACGATCCCACCCTTGTTGGGGATGCCTCCATTCCTCCAGGCGCCCCTCCCGTTGGAAATTACCACCATCCCGCTCCTGCTGGCAGTGCTGGCCCTCATGGAAATACTCCTGCTTATGGAAGCGCAACCCTTGGTGCGACTCCCGCCCCTGGTGGAACTGAAGACCCTCGTGCAGATCCCGCCATTGGTGGAACTGGCGCTATGGGTGGAGCTACTCCTCCCAATAGCAATGCACCCCCCGATGGATATGTTACTCTACCTGACGGAACTACAGCACCTGGTGGCGCTCCCGCACCTGTGGGAACTATCGCACCTGATACGCAGGGACCGCAGCTTGGAACTCTTTCCTAGCACGGATGAGGAGGTCAGCAAGGCGGGGGTGGGAAGGATTGGAAGGAGATACTTGGCTCAACGGTTGGGAGAGGACAAGTGGGGTTTACCGGGTGGCGGGCGGATGCGAGGGACGATGCAGACGAATGTTTCTGTTCGACAAGTATTGTGATCGATTACTCATGTACAAACGCATCGCACGTGTCTGCCTTACCCGTCTTGGACCCTTGTCGAGCCTCGTACTTGCTCCGTAGCACCTTGGGCTTTCGCAATTAGTGTACATACATAGCTAGCTTTTGCGTGCTGCCCTAACCCTATTGGGAACATTACCCGATGCGGCACACACTAACCGAGTACGAGGTAGATTTCCTTCCAATCAATAAATCAAGTTATCACTCTTTACATGGCGCAACACTCGTTCATTGTTTCAGGTACACCAAGCGAGCGCGGTGCTTACTGCTTCTCAAATTACACACAGGGACTGACTGCACTGCCCTATCTTCAGTTTGCTCGTCGTCTTCACTGGTTCACTCAAGCTGATATTCCTCCTTCAGATGGAGGAAAACCACGTGGTCAAACTTCCACGACTAGACTGGTTGACTGAGAAGTTGGACTCTCAAGGGCGTTCACATTTGGGGTGGGCGTTTGATGACCGTGAGATTAAGCTCTTTTTGTTTACCTGATGGGGGCCAAACGAAGGTTCCAGACCCGAGGCGGATCAGATCCATCCATCTGTGGATGAGCTCGCTAGACTCGAATAGCTCAATTAGGTATTGCCCCCAAGCCGACTAAGCGACGCTACATACAGTCATGCATATACCGAGTACCTCGTACTTGTAACACGGTCGGTCACAGGTTCAATTCGTCGATTAGTGAGGAACCTGGGTGGGGAGGGTGAACCACTTCTTTAAATATACACCGTCTCCTTGTAACCAGAATCTGAAAAAAACATCCTCCCAGACTAAAGTTAGGCTCTAAGTCGATGGGACCCAAAGCAGAGAGGAAAGACCGGGGAGGGGGCTGGCTCCGCATCCATGCTTTCGCCTCTTGAGGATCCCAACGCCCTATCTAAACAGCACTTGAATCCAGTCCCACTGATCCAGAGTACCGACGCTATCTGGATTCTGAATCCGCGCGCGACCATCTTTCAGCTGTACAGGTACCATAAATAGACAGACGGACACTCACAACCAGCGCCTTCGACAGGCCCCCCTAGCTTTAGTCACGACTCGACGATGTATTTCAATTCCTTGGAGGATCAGCCACGCCCGAGATCTCTCTCCGGGAGGAGTTGATTACTGCATACCATTTGTATGTGCATATTTACCTTTGACTAAGAATATACAACAAAGACACTGACATGGGCCCTCGAGATCAGGCCACTGTGACTATTGTACGTACTGTAGATCACGGAGGTTCAGTCACCCGTCGTGGACTCTCCATCATTATCATTATTATTTCTTCGCTCCGCCCGGTCGACCCCGTCCGTTATTTGACTCCACCGTGTCTCGACGGAGCCCCGGATTCCCGTCACAGGATACCCGCTCCAGAGAATTCTCAAATGATACCTAGTATATGGAGTATATATACATGATTGTGACGCATGTATTGGGCCTGAATTGGGTCTAGACCGCAGGAATCTGAATCTAGGCCGGACGGGACGGATGGAACGTCTTTTGTGTGCCGGGACCGAAGCTGATCCTGCTCAACGATGCGGCCTTTTGAGATATCTCAGCAAACTTTTCAGCCAGCTCCTTTCACGAACCAAGACAAGATCTCTGTCTATTCCGCAACAGGGTCGCAATCGTCAGCTAGTTAACCCGTGTCAATTACTTTCTCATTTCCTCTCGATTTGTATGAATCTCGTCCCCCTTTACTCGTGCGAGCGGTTGGGGCCCGCTTTGCTCGGCTATGAAACATGAGGTACAGATGTAGTATTCATGAATTAGTTTCGTATTTCTTGCAGTAGCTACCTAGGTAAGGTTTTTTTTTTTTTGGATAAAAGTCTTCTACCACAACTCAGTGCAGCAACCCTCTGGGCTACTCGACCAGAAACCGAGCATTCTCTGTCTAATCAAGCACATGAATTCTTTCACTGTCAAGTCGAATCCAGATACACGCTCAGACGTGAATGTCAAACCCACAAGTGCGTTGGCAAAGTCCTACGCACCCGAGAACTTTGCGGCATTCTGACCCGCGATGCGTCCAAACACCACACACTCGAGCAGACTGCTTCCACCCAGCCGATTGTCGCCATGGATGCCACCCGTGGACTCTCCAGCCGCCCAGAGTCCCTTGATCGGCTGTCCGGCGGTGTCAAGAACTTCTGCCTCGGGAGAGAAGATAGCTCCGCCCATGGTATAGTGCACGACGGGGGTGACGGAGCCGACATAGACGGTCGAGTCGGGCTTTGGATCTTGCAATGCCCACTGTCCAAATGACGAGCGGCCCAGAGAATCGGCACTTGTACCTTGAACGGTGGCGGCATATTCTTTTATCGTCTCGAGAGCCTCGTCCGCATGGTCGAGCTCGGATATTGTCGTCTTCCGCATCAGCCCTTTCCACACGTAGAAGTCGACGTGTGATTTTGCGGCCTGATACGCGCCCTCGTCCATCAAGATCTGAATATCCCACTGCTTGGTCGGCTGTGAGTCTTTCGGGGGCTGTGCCAGGATGGCCTCTGTGACTTGTTTTCTCGTTCTCAGCTCATTGATGAACCTCTTGCCCTGTCTTAGGAGGATTCCGCCTTCGCCCCTGAGGGCTTCGGCCGCGAGGAATTTTGTCTGCTTGAAAGGGTCCTTAGGATCCACGAACCCCGTCGGATGCACCTGTACTTGTTCCATATCGACCAGATGCGCACCAACGTCAGTCAGCAAAGTCTGCGAACCCGGAAGCGCTTCGTTGGTGGACGGAAATCCCTCGAGGTCTGGTCGGTATTGCGCGAGGAGACCGGTCGAGTCACCAGCGAACCCGCCGGCGGTAAATACCACAGGGCCTTCGAGGGTCTCCGGCTTGCCATCGCGAGAGACCTGCACGCCCACAACTTCCCCGTCCGACTTTAGGATCTTGGTCACGGTGGTGGCTGTTTGGAGAGTCACGAGAGGACTCGCCTGGAGTTGTTTCAAAAGTGTCAAGACAATGCTGGCTCCGGGCGGAGTTGGCCCTGCTCCTCGATGCGTCCGCGCATGGCTATGGCCACCCAACAGAGCGACATGTGACAGGTCAACCCCTTTTTCATCCACAAGCCAGTTGATCGCCGACGCGGAGGAATCGGTAAGCTCCGTGATGAGCTTCTGCCTCGCCTCTGTTCTGGAGGCTCTGAAGCTCGCACCAGCGGATTTCAGCGTGTCGTTGTAAAAGTCCGCCACAGTGTCCGAGCCGGGGACTTGAAACCGGGTCGGGACGCCATTGATGCCGCTCGACGCCTTGATCGAGTTTCCGCCAGGCTTCTGCTGGCGCTCGAGAATTTGTACCGGAACACCCCTGGCGACGAGCTCGGAAGAGGCACTGAGTCCTGCGAGACCCGAACCAACAACAATGACCTGCGAAGGCGCCGTGGCTGTGTTCCGCGTAATGGACGACGACATCCGAAGACGACCAGCGAGCATAGAGACAAGGGCTGCAAGGATTGAAAATACGAGGACCAGGCCGAGTCTATTTTTCCAGTACCGGGTCATAGGAGGGTGTCAACGAACCTTATATTGCGAATTCAGGTGTCAAATTCCTTACAAGCAGATTCCGGCATTTTCTTTTCAAAGAACGTTCAGCCATGATCGGGTATCAAACAGCGTTGGCTGGGAGCGAGTTTGCCAATGTCAGGTCACGCCACAGCTCACGCGCTGCTACTGGGCTTGTCACCCCACAAAACAGGCTTTGGGTACAATTCGATTCGGAATTGCATCTGGAACATGAACTCCAAGAACTGGGTACAATAAGGGCGAAGTACTCGGTGGTATCAGAATAGTCCTGCTTCAAGGTATCGCTTTGCATAAACTTGTACTGATTGCATAATTTTCTGCTCCTTGGACTTGAGGCCGGCTCATCTTTGGTACAAGTATACCCTTGGTGCCGAGGAGATGCTATCGCTAGGCCAAGAGTGTCTTATCCTGCTGTACTCGGTACTGGGATGCGCTGGATCTCTTATCCGACACCACCCGTCCTGCACCTTTCCAGTCAGATGTTCTGTGTGGTGTTTGTGTTCGAGACACCGATGGTTGTCTACTTGATAGTATCGGGCCTTGTGCTTCACATCGAACCAGATCATCGGAGTTAAAAAGATTGTCCGCTTTGGAGAGCTTGAACAAGTCATTGTTGGGATTTCATCTCTTTGCATATGCTCCTCCTCAATCTTGATCGGATGGGCAAGGTCAATGAGACCGCTGAGATGTTTCTCGGCGTTGTATTTTGACTTACTCCTGGATGGATAAGTCTCGAGCTGCAGGGCCTGCTTTTACTTGTAGTGCTCTGTACTTCCCTTTCTCTTTCTTCCTTGTCCGTTTGACCGTCGTGAGGTGTGTTGATCCGTGCAGGCTACTTTGCAGGTATATTTCCAGCCGGCAATTTCGTGATTTTTGGGGAGTTGTGAGGGATGTGTGACTGCAGGTTAGTCAGACTGACATGGTCGATTCGCATGTTACAAGACTGGTAGCAGCCATCCTTGGATAGTTGGGCGACATGAATGAGTCGGTGCTCGGCACCACTACAGGGTTGGGAGAGGGCCATGGCGCAGGCAATAATCGCGTAACAAAGGTGGCACTTGGGTGGATGGGTGGCATTTCTGTCCGTGTGACTGACTGACTGGCTGATTGCCGCGCCAACCGTGAAGCGTAAACAATGACGCTCAACCACCCCAGATCCACAATTTTCACTGGCTGCCCTCACTCCGTGGCTCTGAGTCGCTGCTGTTTTCTCGTATCGTATTCTGCCAGACAAGCTGGAGCCTGGAGGTCTGATTGCACTCGTACCACGACAGCATCTTTGCCAGCTCATCCCGCGCAGCCTGAAAACCCTCGTCACCTGCG